CAAAGGGACCAAGAACTTTCATTGGAGGAAAGACAGCATGTTCAGCAAATGGTGCTGGCAAAACTGGATCTCTACCTGTAGAAGAATGAAACTAAACCCCTATCTTTCACCTTGCACAAAAGTCACCTCTAAATGGATCAAAGATCTCAATGTCAAGCCTGAAATTCTGAAACTGTTAGAAGAAAATATTGGCAATAACCTACAAGATATAGGTGTAGGAAAGGATTTTCTAAACCAGACATCAATCGCCCAGGAAACAAGTTCAAGGATCAACAAATGGGACTTCATTAAATTAAAAGGCTTCTGTACATCAAAAGAAGCAACCAAGGAAGTAAAGATAAAACACACAGAATAGGAATCTTCACCAGCAACACATCTGACAGAGGTTTAACATTCAGAATATATAATGAACTCAAAAAATAAAGAATCAAGAAAGGAAGTAACTCAATTAAAAGATGGGCTAAGGAGCTGAACTGAGGGTTCTCAAAAGAAGAAATAAAATAAAGATGGCTAAGAAGCATCTTAAAAGGTATTCAACATCATTAGTAATTAGGGAAATGCAAATTAAAACCACCTTAGGATTTCATCGTACCCCAGTCAGACTGGCTAAGATCAAGAGAACAAGTGATACCAAATGTTGGAGAGGATGTGGGGAAAGGGGAACACTCATCCCCTGCTGGTGCGACTGCAAACTTGTTCAACCCCTATTGAAAGCAGTGTGGAGAATGCTTAAAAAACTACAAATGAACCTACCATTTGACCCAGTTATACCACTCCTTGGCATATACCCAAAGAACTCATCCTATAGCAGAGACACATGTTTGTTGCTGATCTTTTCACAATAGCTAAGAGATGAAAACAACCTAAGTGTGCCTCCACTGAAGAGAGGATAATGAAAATGTGGTTCATTTATACGATGGAGTTTAACTCAGCAGTAAAGAAAGATGAAATCATGAAATTTGCAGGTAAATGTATGGAACTAGAAACTTTTATAGTAAGAAAAGTAGCATAGACTCAGAAAAAAAAAAAACGACGAATGTTCTCCCTCTTATGTGGATCTTAGCACAAAATCCTTATAAATGATTATGTGTCCATAACTACAGGAACCAGGATAATGAAAAGGCACCAGGGAGGTAAAGGAAAAGAATCTGAAAGAACAGTAGGAAACAGGCATTAATAAGATATGGATAAAATGGGGTTATTTTAAGGGGAGGGGGGAGGGGGGAGGGAGAGTTATACAAGGAACCTTGGGGATAAAGGGAAAGAAGGAGCTCAAGAGAGGTGAGACCATAGGAGAAGGGTATTATTAGAGGAGAAATGGAAAAAATGGGGAAACCACAGTGGAAGGGTTAGACAATATGAGAGATAAATAATGCCTAGCTAGTTTTAAAAACCCAGAGGGAATCATATTAATCAAACAACCTACTGAGAAATTATATATGCAACTAGCTCAAGGAATATAGTTCATGACTAGGCAAGGTTTATCTTAGAGCATCTGGTCTTTGCCCAAGCTTTAGCTATATAGCACATGGTAATTAAAAGTACCAGACTGGTAGAACTAACCTTCTTGGTTGTCTAACAGCCATACTTTGAGGCCTACAAAAATTTGGTCAGAGTGACATAAAGGACAGTTTTTGCTCCTTACCCTCCTAGGTCGACTAAGCTCCAGGGGACTATGAGCATCTCGCAAAATGTCCTGTAACTGTGGTGAGTCACCTGTCCTCTTAATCAAAGAGGCCGAGGAGACCCCACCAAACGGACATGAACCAGTGTCCAGTCTACAAAGAGGAGGGTCAACACAGGGCAAATATTTCCTCCATGCTTCCAAGTGAAGCCAGCCATGGTTGAGGAGGACCTTTGACTTATCTTCACATAGATGGACCTGGTAATAGAAAGGAGCCAGGGGCTCCTTCCAAGCCCATGTGACCCCTAAGGAACAGATCCTCAAACGACCTTAACAGTAAAAATAAATTGGTTTATCTGGGCCAACTGTATGGTCTTAAACACCCAAAAGGAAAGTATAACCAATGATTAAAGTGATTGGTATATTTCTTTAAGAGTCCATATGTATAGCTAAAGGCTACACGACAAGAAACAATGCCAGACAAGAGATACCTTCCTTTGAGTTGTTGGCCAGGGTGGCCCAAGAGACTCCCAGACAGTAACCCAGCATAGAATTGGAAAATGAACAGCAGACCCTAATTTTACCTAAAGGAATGTTGGCAACTGATTGCTGCTATATGAGGAAGAGCTGATGTTCCTGAAACAAGGAACTGTAGATAGGCTGACTAGACTCAGCAGATGGACTTACACAGAGGAACAGCTGGGGGCACTGACAACACAGTGGACAGTAAAAGGGATGACAGAATATATGGGCTCCAGTGTGGGGCTGCGGAGGGTTAACGGAGGGTGCCATTTGGAATGCAGGAAAAAGATGAAAAGATTGTTTGGGACGTTCTGTTCAAAATAGACACACACAAAAAATCAATTAAAAAAATATAAAATCTCCAAGGAGGCTAAAAGCTAATTCTTCCTTGAGTGTCAGCAGAGATGCAAGGTGCTGGCCTCTTGGTCTTAGTCTATTAGACGTGTTAGGCAGGAACCAGTTGAATCACACTGGGTCCAGACTTCAGAGAGCAAAACAGAGACTCAGATAACAGGCAATGTATTGAGCTGTTGCTAAATCTGTTTTAATTTGCTATGCAAAAATTAAAAACAAAACCAATATAGGCAGAAAGTTGGCTGCTGTTCAGTTATTGACAGAAAATGTACTACTCAAAGCTCAAGACTAAAATCAATTTTAAAAATTTTTCAAAATATGAGAAACTTACTGTTCTCTGTAAAGAAGTGAGTTTGTTTGTTGTACTCTGTGTTTCCCGCAATACTTCAGTCATTGTGCCTTCATCCTCATCAATGTGGACAGTCACATCTTCTATGGATGTTGAGTAGTGAGCCTGAACACTGCTAAGGGTATTGATCTCTTTCCTAAGAGAAAAGCACAGCTGATGTTACTCACACTGAATCTTTATTATTGATTCCATATCTATTTCAATAATGTAAATCATTAGTATTTATTTCATCCCTAAGTGACTCCAAATTCCTAAAAAGAGTCAGTTAGGTATTAAGTAAACAGCAAGCACAAAAACCACATTAGTATGTATGTTTTTGAAAGGAAAACAATTTGGTTTGAATTGGGGGAGGGTCCTAAGCCCATTAGATGGAGAAGCAGAGTAATAAGGCAATGTGAAGAAAAGGGGGAGCACGGATGTGCGTGGCGCTCACACCTATAAGCCCAGCCCCTGGGAGACAGAAAACACGCAACAAGAACAAGATTCATTACTACCCTTCCACCTGTGGGGAGAATTGGTGGACCTAACAGAAATCTAAAAATCCAGGGAGGCACTGAGGGCTTACCTCGCTATCCAGAATTTACAAATAATTTGGTTACTTTTTTCTTTTACAGTTTCTCAATGTTTCCATCACCTCCTCAGCCTCAAGGATGAACAACAGACTTTGACCAGAGAAGTGACAGTTGCATATCACCATGAAACAAAGGCATACTTTAGCTATTCTTCACCCTGTCCAGACAATTTCATGCTTGAAGGCCCTTTAACTTTGGCTTTTGTTCCTTGTTTGCTTGTTTTCTGAGTAAAACTTTCCTACTGTGTTTGTCTTCAGTGGTCATTTAAATTTCATCATTTTCAAATCTACTAAGTCAGGAGAAGAAACAGGAGGAGTTACTCTGTTCTTAAGAATTGTTACACAAATATAACGACCAAAATAGTATGGTATTGGCTGAGTAAGGGATTCACAGAGCAACAGAATAGAATGAAGTGTCCACAAAGAGGTCCACACAAATGCAGCCCATTGATTTTTGAGTTTCAAAATCCATTTAACGGAAACAATGGAACATATTCAAAGAGAAAGGGGAACCTCTGAGTAAACCCCACACTTCATTCACAGCTTAACTAAAAACTCCTGTGTCTAAATATAAAATGTAAACCTATTAAGATTTTGGAAGAAAACAGAGAAGAAAATCTTTGTGAATTGAGGGTTAGGGGAAGTCTTCCCATGACACCAAGCAAACAAACTATTTTAAAAATGGAATTGGTGAATTCAATTTCAGCATAATTTAAAACTTTTCCACTGTAAAATATCCCAAAAATGGGTTGAGAAGGCAAAATAAATCACAAGATATTTGCAATTTATATCCAATTTTAATAAGATTTACTTATATACTTGTGTATATGAATGCTTTGCCTGAATATATCCATGTGTACCAAATGCAGATCTAGTGCCTACAGAGGCAAATAGAGGGCCTATATTCCCCTGGAACTAGAGTTAGATGGTTGTAAACTGCATGTTGGTGCCAGGAACTGAATCCTTGTCCTCTGAAAGGGCAGTGAGTGATTGTAACTACGGAACCATCTCTCCAGCCCTTACATAACTAATTCTTTCAATGTCTTCCAAAAAGAGTCATCTACACCAGCCATAGAAAAGTTAATAACCCAGTTAGAAAATAGTATAAACCCTTGAACAGATATGTTACAGAATGCATTATTAATTTGTATGTAAAGAGATGCAGAAACTAATGTGAATTAAAACTCTAATTTGCTATCAACACAAATCTTCTAAGACGCCAGAGATTTTTATTTAAAAATCAATCTCTCAAGTTGTTTTTGTTTTAAAGTCAGCATCTATCTGTAATTACTGTAATAAATAAGAGTTAGAGATATGCCATAATCTATCTGGGAAAATTTAAATTTGTGTCTCCCTTAAGAGAAGCAAAATGTAAGAAAAATTCAAATTGGGAATTCTGAGGAGAGGTTGAGGTCAATTGAAAGCCTAAAAGCTGCTGAGAGAAATTTAATGTTATCATTTTGGGAACAGACAATTGCCTTTGTTTTATTGTCTTTTTGAAGCAGAGTCTCCCTGTAGCCCCAGCTGTCCTGGAACTCACTGTGTAGACTAGGCCAGCCTTGAACTCACAGAGATCCGCCTGCCTCTGCCTCCCAAGTGCTGAGACTACAGGCGTGCACCATCACGCCCGGCTAATTGTCATTTTTGAGGCTTAATAAAAAGACTAGTAAAGAAATGTCCAACGGAGTTAAACATTTAGCCAAATTTCTTCTGGGGCTAGCTGTAAAAGATTTTTTTAAAAAGCTTGTAAATTGTTTAAAGCAATTAGATTTCTATCTTTAGTAAAGACTAATAAGATATCATCTGTATAATGAAAAGTGTAAGTATTGGGAAGTTTTTTTCTAATACAGTGTAATGCATTATTTGCTCAATACTGACAAAAGATGGAGCTATTGAACATGACTTGAGTGAAAATTTTCCATTTATAAATTAGACATTAATGCCTAGTTAATGAAAGCAGGCCCAGAAATGGGAAATTTCCAAAAAGGCACTCTTTTAAATCATTAGCAATAATATGGCAGTTTTGCAGGACTCAGACAGGAGAGTGAACTCCATGTACTGTCAGTAAACATCCAGAGTATTAATTATAGCAGTCTGCAGTCTGGTACTTTTGAAGAAAGAGTTGTACTCTTTCTCTGGAGTGTGTTACTGAATATGTTAAAGCTGTAATGAAATGCTTCTAATAATATAGTTATTAAAAATTTTTTTAAATTTACTTCATGTTAAACAGTAGAGGTGATAAACATTACCGGTGAAATCTACCTGATGACTTTACATCCATACTCAGCTACTAAGGATCTGAGTGTAACCAACTGTGACTAGTTATAATCAGATAGAGATTAAAGACACATGTACAAACATGTGTTAGTAGCATTAAAAATGTAGGAAATCGTATATCTTAAAATGAAATGGAGATCTTCTTTAAAGGTTAAAAATTCATTCAATTTTATGTCTTACAGGGCTTATACTGAGTTCAATATTGT